CCCCCCCTCCAGCTCCTGGCACCCAGCCCCCCGCTGCGCCCTGGCAGCTGGAGGAGGGAGGGTTGGGGAGCGGCTGATGATCCGGTTTGCACAACACAAAAACCAGAGCTCAGGGTACAAAGCTTCAGAGTAGGAATATGGCCATGTGGTGCAGGTAGAGTTCCCTCTGCAGGTGGCTGCGTTATACTTTGAAACAGCGTGATTGATCCTCGTCTTGTTCGTAGCAAGGGGCGGAAACTAAATCTTGCAGACAACGGGTGGGATCCTGTAAACAATTACTGCTAACAGGTAATTATGCCTGCAGAACACAGGTCTCACCACCACTAGAGCACCCATGTGTACATGAGTGACTGTCCACAGACTGATGTCCGCTTCACGCAAATGTCAGTCTACTCAGCTTTGAAATTTGTGGCCAGCAGAAGGTCACAGCTGCTCACACGGCCCGGATGGGACAGGTTAGACCAGAGGAACAGTGGATCTGCTTGGAAGTGAATGTAACACCTCTGGTGGGATTTGGAGTTTGTGTGGGACTTTTACCTTTGATGCTGTTTTATACCTTTCAGTATACGCTCAATATATACAGAATACCCAATTAATCCTGCGTGAGCAGCAAGTTCCGTAGCTCACCTCTTTATAACTAGATACTTTATAACTAGATACATGATCACTGATAGTAGTGCTGACAGGCAAGTTAGCTCTGCTGGCCACAACTCTCCAGCCATGCTTGTATAAATCACATTTATTCTCTAGGAAGCCCTAAGAGCTGTCATTTTTCCTGCTTCCCAGTGAAGGTTCAAAGACTTTATTTACCTGTTTCACTAAGAATCCTTGCTTCACAATTGTGCCGCTTAATTCAGAGATGTTAAATTGTAGCTCTTCCTTGGAACTGGTATTTTTCTTACTGCTCTCAGCCTGCAAATAGGGAAAAGATGGTTCCACTTTTTAATTTAAACACACTCTTAAGTACAAAGTTATGCATTTTATTTTCCTTGAGCTGTTTTTAGCTCATTTTTCCCAAGTAAATTCTACTCCATACCCCTGCTGCTCAGCTCAGCAGGTCTGAGGTTTACGAGCAACAAATTACAGCTGTAAAGCTTCCACACACACTGTGGCCTTGAGTGTTACAGAACTATAGCTTGGCCTCTGTTAAATGCAGACACAGCACTGGTCCCGAGGGACACACCCCTTTTAATACCTAATTATCTAATTTGTTGATCCCTCCATAGCCATGTAGTTATTTGTCTCCAGCAAAAGTGCAAGTGTTAGCACTTCTAAAAGCCTAGAGCTGCTCCCTCTGTGTCTGCTTTCATAGCCTGCATATTTTGCCTTCGGTTGCGTGCTGTGCATGTCCCCTTTACCGCTGCCCCAAATCAAGTGAGGGGCAGAGGAGGTGCCTCTGTTGGCAGCCACGTCACTTACAAACATGTACAGTGCGGTGGAGTCGTCGAGGAACTGCTCAGAGAGGTCGCTGTAGCGCGTGGCCTCAATGCTGCGGGCTCCCACGGGCTTGATGAAGTTCTCCTCCATCAGCATGGATGCCAAGGTGACAGCCTCGAACCGTGATACCGCAAAGCTATTGGAGATGAGCCAGTCCACCAAGGCAGAACCTGCAGGGAGAAAGGCAGCTTTCATACCAAGGCAACGTGCTCTTCCAAGGTGAGACAGATGGTCTCCTGCCACACAGGCCTTCATTTGCTGAAACATTTTGGCACCATCACAAAGACTGTCAATAAAGTGCAAAGTTGACCAAAAGTGTGGGGTCCTACGTGTGCTTCCATATATCCAAAGAGCAAGAGAGAAAGGTGTCGGAGAACTTGGCTGCACCACTGCTTGCCACTGGGCCACGAGTGATCCCACCAGGAAGGCAGTGCAGTAGCTCCCTTGTCACTGCAGTGTGGCGTGTCAGATGCGAGGAAGCTCTTTGCCTGCAGCGGGTGTACCTGTGAAGGTCTCTTTGTATCTGTTGCCTTGCTCCAAGTTGCGGGTCAGCTTAATTCCAGCACTGCTGTCACACATTCTCTCCACTATGTGGCTGTAAAAGAGAACACAGGACAATGTTACTAGAATAGAAAGACAGCCAGAAACTGTCGCCTACTTCTGGCAGTGCCTGGGATGCTCTAATGATTACCAGTATAAAGATGGGAAACAGTCCAGATACTCCCCCATAAGTTTTATCCTAAGTACGGTGTAGGAAAATTTATTGTCCCAATAGTAGCTCTAAACAAGATGCCTCACAAAGTATCACAATTTAAAGCACTTCACACTGAGCTATAGTGAGCCTCCATTTACCTTCTCAACACAAAGCAAATTCATGTAATTTTTCTATTTCTGAATCAGTTCTCTATTTCCTCATGTTTAACATGATGCACCCTAAAAATCCTAGTCTGGATTCTGGCTATCATCAGCTTTGAAAGCTCATCAACACAGCGTGAACAATGTCATTGCTTAGTCTTTCCCTGACATTGCATCTTCCAAGGTCATATATCTCCCCAATGAGAACCTCTGCAGCTGACTAGGAAGGTCTTCAAGGCGGCAGTGAGATGCCTGTGCAGAATCCACAACCCCCCCCAAAAAAAATGATGGCCAGGAAAAAGTGCATTTCTGTGCCCTGCCAAAAGTGTGTGCAAACCTAGGGCAGAGCAGCCAGTTTAGAGGCTCCTGGCCACATGGGAGTGGATCTATGCAGAGAGGAGCTTCCCCACCCATCAGCTCAGGCAATTTGCAGACTACAGCAATAGCAGAAGGAGAAAGCATATACACTTACTGGAGGCTGATATTCTCTAGCAGTTTGAAAGACTTCTTCATTCTGTGAAGCTCTTGCACCTGTACTGGGTGACCAGCATGAATAGCTCCAGTGATGTCCAAAGCCCAAGAGTCTCGCTCCTCCCTGGAGCAACATTCAAGGAAATAATCTGTGTTGGTTTTTGTTGTTAGTTTGATGAGTAGCTGTGGAGAAAGAAGTGCAAAGCAATAACATCATTTAGCTATTGTCCTCCACTTGCATTTTGCTTCTTTTGGCACTGGCCCAAGTGACACAAATAAGTCTGATATTGCACCCCACCTGAGCAGTACAGAGCAATTCTTGGCCAGAAGGCTGGTGGGCACAACTCTGGGTTTTTTTTTGCTTCCCCCTTACCCCAAAACCCTGGGTTTTCAGTTCCAAGCATGGTTTGCATGCATGGAGCTTGTGGTACTTAAAGAGAGCAGACCACCCAGACACTGGATTACATGGGAGTGTGCCGCTGACTGTGGAGCTTTTCACATCCAGATCTCTAGTTTCTCAGCAGCTACACACTCTCACTAGGCTCTTTCTGCCATGAGAAGTACTGAAATAGTCAGCAGCTTCCAGAGTCATTTCCCTTCTGGCCCCACTCAGAGGAAGTCTGCCTGGCCGCTGCCCGCGGGTGAGCGGAGCAGCACGGGAGGCACTTTCCCTCCCAGAGCCCTCTTGCTGGAAACTTTCCACAGCAGCGAAAGTCCCATTGGGGAAGGAAAATGGAGTTTGACCTGGCTGCCCGGGAGCACCCCGTGGACACAGCCAGGGGTTAAGGCAACTACCAGAGATCATAAGTTTCCTTTTTTTCCCATCCTCCTCAGATTTTATTGAGGTGTTTGTGTCCTCCCTCCACACACTGTTGGGCTGATGCATTTGCATTTATTCTTCCCACTGTGTGTGTTGGGGGGGAGCATGTTTTGTTAATGGCTGTGACTCAGATTTGGGCACAGGGAACAGCAGACACGATGAGGGAGTTCATTGCTCATCCCGGTTACACTGCTAATGGCAGCTTGCTTTTGGCTGGGCCTAATTCTGGACACACATACCCCAGTGACATGGTTGCAGTAATCAAAGAAGTCAGGAGAAGAGGAGAAGACTGGGAAAAAGTTAGAAAGTGAACATCATTGAGAATGGATACATATTTCCAGTCATACCGGTCTGTTCTCATACTCCAGGCATGGACAAGTAATAGTGCAGCCATCCAAAAAGATCCTGCCCTTTGGAGAAGGCTCCTTCTTGCCTCCTTCAATTTTGTAATACAGCAGCTTATCCTGAAGCAGAACGAACCATCTCACTTTCCAGTTACGAACAATATGTCCCTAGAGGGGAAGAAATCCACATAGCCAACTTTAACATGACCATTGAGAAATGCCCATATTTTCTTTTTGTTTCTTTTTTTTGGGGGGGGTGTGTGAAAATACCATAAACTAATAGGAAACTGTAAGTAAAGAAACACAGGAAGTCATCACAAGTCCTGTTCTCCCCAAAATACATATTTTTAATAACAAAATAGCACGGCTCCATCACTGTAAAATCATGGAGCAACAGAAAGGTGCTTTGCTCTTTCTCCAGGAAGGACATCTTCTTTGCTGGGAAGAATTGTTTCTTGCAAAAGCTCACAAGAATTATCTCAAAGAGCTGTCATTTAGGTGCACACCTGCCCACTGACAGCACCAGGCAGGAACCGGGCTAAATCCGCAACGTGCGAGGGCTCCTCTCCAGTGACCCTGGGTGGTGGTTGATGTGTTTTGTTCTTCATCATTTTGATGCGGCTGCAGGTGCCAAGTGGTTCTGAGAGCGCTTTGCTGGGTGAATTGGCCTTTCCTTACATCCCCTCTTACTGCTAACGAGTGGTTTATTTCTATACTACCTGCCTCCAATCTCCTGGGCTAAACATTGCCTGTGCTACTGTTTCCTGTAAAGGGAATACACTTTTTAATGGCAAAAGGCTGAATGAAGGCTGCTGTCAAAAGCCTCCTGGGTTATGCCAGAATACAGACAAAACCTCTTCTTTCCCCTGTGTAAACAGCCCCTGGCTCTCTTTATTCTGGCTGTACAGGAGAGCAAACCCAGCGAGGGCTGGCACTGACAGGCTCAGTCCTGTCTGACGGTGTCAGGTCCAGCTTCGCGGTGCGAGGAGCTGACTTGCATTTCCACAGGTGATGGAGCATTACAGCTAGCAGGAGCAGCACTGGGTGGAGGGAGCTCTGGCACCTGGGAGAGGGTGGGCATAGCTAGAAGAAACAAACATGCAAGGTCCAGTTGTGGCAGGAATCAAAGCTCATTAATTCTCTATGAGTAAAGGGGAAAACCAGCAATTTCCAAGAAAAGGCGGGGTAGTAAGTCTCTAAAATCCAGGGCACTTTAAATCTAACGTCTTCTAGTCTATACTAAATACAATTTATCTAACCTGGGTTTCTTCTCTCCTTCCCTTTGCCTTCTTCAGTGTTTTTTTTCACCTGTTGTAAAGTCCCTTGGCCATTTTTCCTGAGAGTATGTTCTTTGCTATGGCTCTTTTCTTTCCTTCTTGGAGATGTCCTCTTTTTCAGGAGGTTGCCTTACCTTTTTTTCTTTATCTTTACCTGACTTCCACATGCTTACTTTATATTTATAATACATCACAATACATAATTCAGTCATTTATAATGCATTTAGATCACATCCTTGCTTTGCTGTCGTCTTAAGAAAGTTCTGTTTTCTTTACCTGATCCCACCCCTTCCTCATTTTTTTCTCTGGATCCCTTGTTCCCTTCTCCCTCAGTTTCCTTTAGGCATCTTCTTTGTGGTCTCCTTCCTATCAAAGTGTGTATCTTGGTGATGTTGTGCAGACTGCTGGCAGTTACAGCTCAATGTGCCGATAACCTATTCCTCTCACAGACTTGATGCCTTGGCTTCCCATCTTGAATTCAGTAGTCACTTAGGAGCCACAAAATACAACCGTAGCCCAGAGAGGAGAGCAGGAGCTGGGACTGCTCTGTCCTCGCTGCAGAAGGGAGGATGAGGAACAGCTCAGGCCATGCAGCCCTTCTCCGCGTAGAGCACGGCTTCACGCGGCCAGCAGCTGGCTGGGAGCCCCGCCAGGTGAGCTCCTGACCAGGATTACCATCATGTTAGCACCAGAAGCACTGCCACGTACTGTAGAAAAGCATTTCCCAAGGCGTGGCAAAGCTTTGAACAAACCTTTGAATCACTTTTTTCGTGTGCAATCAAGGACCATATTAGCCATTGAGACAGGGTCTTGGTACTAAAAGCAGCTTATGCCCCTTGCTATGTTGCCCTCTTGTGTCCCAGCTATGACTGGTCCTATAGGGAGAAGTGTTGGAAAGGCTGAAATCTGTGACACCGTCTTTCAGCTCTTTTCTCCACATTTTGGCTAAAATTCTCTTACAGTGCAGTTTGAGGGGTGTGGAAGAAAGAAATTACTTCAAACACATTTCTATGTTGGCATTGCTCCGATCCCCTTCAAAAAGGATAGTCTGTTCTCCATCCTCACAGATGAAATGGGAAACCCTGCTCAGCTGGGTCGCTAAGGAAGGCACAAACTCTCTTAAGAGACTGTCAAAACATCTTCCCTCTCTCCATCCTCCCACGGCTGCTTCCACTGCTGCCCCGCAGCCATTTGCCAGGTAGTTTTTTATGTGCTCTCTGCAGAGGTGTGCCCTAGGTGCAGACATACTGGCTTTCTGATACCTAACTGAGTAATCCTGATAGCTAATTCACTTTCCCCTGGGTAAATACCAATACAGGGAAACTCGAGGGAGGGTAGTGAACACCTGCAGTTCATGCAGCTCCCCCGGCAGGCATCTGCACAAACCTGGAGGAGCTCCTTGCCCAGGAGAAGGCAGGAGCCCCTCAAACCCAGCTCCCAACGGGCTGCCTTGCCATGAGCCCTGGCTCGATCCGGTCCCTGCTCAGGGGCTGCTTCCACGTTTGAGCAGAACCGCACGAAGGGGAACCAGAGCACTTACCCGTTTGACGAGGAAGCCCTCCTTCAGGACTCCAGCTGCTTCCTGCATCATCGTGGCCAGCAGGGAAGAGAGCCGAGCCCCTGCCGAGAAGCGCCTGAACCCTGGCAGCTTGTCCCTCTGCACGCGATTTGTTTAAGAAAGCTCATTTTTCTCTGCTGCCCTCCTCCTCCAACGTGACGCACCCTCCCTTCCCTGTTTTTTCCTCCCTCTCTTCCTACCTATGAGACATTAGTTAAACAGTGAGCTGGCTCTGATACATTACCTGCCCTCTGGGAAGTAAAAACAAAGGGAAGTCTAAAAAGGATCTAAAAAGAATTTCACAGAATTTAGTATAGCAAAAAACCACCACCGAGTGAGTTGGCCAATATAAGCAGCCACATGATGACAAATCAGGTATTGCATGGGAGGGAGAAGCAGAATTATAGAATCACATCCCTCAAAACTTCAGACTAATCAACTTTACTGCTTAAAATTTCTCATCTAATAAACACATCTCATCTAATAAACACATCTCACAGACCAGAACATATAAGTGTAACATATAGAATATTATGATTACAAGGAGACTTTTACAAACTTTCAAATAATTTCTTTTGCTAGAAATTTATTTTACCTAAGAAGCCCCAAAGCACCTAAAAGCCCAATCTACTTTCAGTGACCTCTGGGCATATAAACCAAGATTCTCAAGTTAATATCCTAAATCCCGACATAACCAACTACGCGGGCTTTGGGTAAAGCAGTCTGACCAATGAACACCATGCAGTGACCTCTTGTAACTCCCGAGCACCTCTGAAACACAGCGCCTTTTTTGTGTCTGAATACGAGTGAAGATGTTTATTGCATTTTGAAGACTTTGGCCATGATAAATCTGTTTGATAGATTTATCAGGTCCTGTCCTGATGAAACAAACAAGTATTAGTATTTCAGATAGCACTGCTATTCAGAAGTAATAGTCTTTGCTGTACTGTCAGTGTTCCCTGACTTGTACCAAAATTAAGGTGATATACGTGGGCAGAGCTAGGGGCTGTGATAAGAAACACGATGTAGAGTATAACAAATAAACAAAAGCACTCGTTGCTATGTAAAAAGAGTCCAGAGTTCAGTAAGGCAAAGTGACTCAAGTATGTCTCAGTCTTTGCACACCCGATCAGATTACTCATCACACTTTCATGTGCCGAGGAAAAGGAACAAACAAATCATTTCCTTATCTTTATACTATTTTTTATAACCTTTACCAAGGAAGAGCAAGACACCAAAGAACTAAAACCTGACAATGTACTGGAGATGACCCAGAGAACAGTCCCGCAGAGATCATAAGAAATGCAGTGGGTGACTGAACGCTACCTGAAGTAAGAAAAATCAATTGCTGTGTAAAGAGAAAGCATACTAGCTGAGATTTCAAAAGCAGCCGGCCCATATGGAAGTTACCTGCGTAGCTCCTACCGTACTCCCTTTGCCACTGTGGAAAAGGCAGGCAGCCACGAGGCAACCGGCTGCGTAAGTCATGTCCCAGTTATGTTTTTTCTTCAGTCCACCTAAAGTAAGTACAGTAAGTTTAACAGAACACCTAGGAGAGTACTTTTTGCTGTAGGTATGTAGTATTTTCAAATATATCAATGGAGATTTTTGCATTTTTTTTATATTATTCTGTCCTTAAAATAAAGCAGAAATGAACTGAGTGGATTTTTTTTAATTTAAAAAATAATCTTCATCTCTGTGTATATACCTAAATATATATATATAAATAAAAGTTGTACTCAGAAGCAGAATCTTGGGAAAAAACTGATGCAGTCAGCAGAAAAAAGAAAATAAATTTCAGCTCACAATGCTCTGTACACCAGAATTAAACTTCAGAAAAAAGAAAACTTGACTCCAGGTACACAAGAGACATTACTGCTGCATGTGTTTCCTGGACACGCATTCTTTGTGTCACCAGCCCCAGGAATACAGTGTTCCACCATTCGGTGTTTGAGGTTTGATTTCACATTGTTCAGCTTGTTACTGCAGGCAATTTAGAACAAGGTGGGTGAGATAATTTCATGCTAGTGAGGACAGGCAGAAGCTTGCAGGGGGCTCTCGCTCAGACAGCGATCTCAGGATTGCACCATAGCCAGTCCTTGCTGAAGATCTGAGCGAGCTCTTTTCCTCCAGCACGCAGACCACCCACAACCCTGCAGACACATCTTGGCAAAATTACCATTAGCAACGAAGAATTTTATTGTCAAACTGCTGGTGAATAGTGAAGCAAACATTGCCCTAGCTGGCCATTAAACAACAGGTTTTGTATCAACTTTTTATAATCTAGAGCCTTCACTTTCTTCAATACCTTGGATATTTATAATACGCACATTCCCCCTCCCCCTGTCTCATTCTGTAGTTAATCAAGGCTAACAAACTGCCCTTATATTGCTCCCGGAGGTTGAGTAAATACAGATCTCTCAGACAGCTTTGTGGGAAAAGGGTCATATAGCGTAAAATGAGTCAGTAGATCTGGGCTGCCGTATTCACACATGTGCTGGGAAGGTGAGCTCTGGCATTGAAGCCTCCCAGCAGAAAAGGATGTGCTTCGCTCCGTATAAACCCAGGGAGCTCCAGAAACTGCATCAGGTCTTCTGTGGGACTTGAAACTCACTGAAAGGAGGACCATCTGTTTCCTCAGATCCATTTTATAGTGGTGTTTTCCACATGTCAGCATAGTATTTTAACAAAAAAGCACAGTTGAATGTTTGACATTTTTCCACTCAAAGTGACCCCAAAACACTTTATATGCTATAGAGTTTGCATTGGCATGGCTGGGAAGAGCCACCTGCAGGCTTTGGGCCCACAGGACACTACTCGCGGTTAAGGGGAAGGGCAGGAGCAGCCGGCTCTGGGCACAGACTGCGCTATTTCAGCTGGCCGACCTGGCAGACATTGCCGGTACTGCCAGCTCAGTCCCTCAGGAAGCCCTGAACGGCTGATCAGGAGAACCTGCCCAAAGGACAAGCCCCGTCGCGTGCTCTGCAACGCCCGTCGCGTATCATCATGTGAACAGCGTCACACGCGACATTACACAGATCCAGCTTTTTCAAAGCAGCTTCTTAAGATGCTAGGACTTTGACCTCCAGTGTAGGACACCAGTAAATATAAGTTCCTTTAGTGGATTAGGGATGAAATAAGATGAAAACAAACCACATCAAAGTAGGGAGTGATGAAACATTTCTAGATAAAAGTGAAAGATGTCAAGTGTTCAGAAGTATTCTGACATAAGAGCATATTTAAAATTAACTGTAGAAAGGTGGCAGTGTTTGAAAACAGTTGCTTAATTGTCTAGACTGGAACAAAAAAAAAAAAAATCAGAAATTAAATACCGAAGTGCAGATTCTGCTATGAAGAACAACATGCCAGCTCTGCTGCATCTAAAAAAAATCCCGAGGGTAGGAATCGGAGAGAACACAAGCAAGGAATTGTCACTGTATTAAAAACCAGACAAACGACAACAGCCCCAAGAAAGCAGGGCACCCCTTCTTCAGCAGCCACTATTTCCCCTGATCAGAAACTGGATACTGGACTGCCTGTTACTGGGCTGTGTGCTTGACCTGAGCCAGTACCTCTGTTTGGGTTTTCTTTTGTATTAATGAGTCTTTATCAGATAAGTAAAATTGTTTCCAAGCTGCCAGCCTTACAAAATTAATTTGGGATATGAAAGTCAAGCTGAGATCCTTACAATTAACACATTGGGCCAAGCCCTGTCCAGAGGCAGACCCGTACCTTTCCCTTCAGTTGAGTACAGGAGTGCAAGCGGAGATTTTGGCCTTGCAATTACAATTGAGTAAACAGGACGCTTGCTAATGAACAGCAGAAATATGCTACCTCGCTTTAGCGACTCGACAAAAGATGTTCACACAAACCCCACGACCCTTATTTTAAGCACTTGGTAAGCAAACGCAGCTCCACACATGCAAAATAGACCAGTTGAGATAGAAGGTATCATCTCAACGGCTTCTAAAGATCCTTAAATCACAGGCTACGGCAAGTGAGGCAGGAAGGCCGAGGCTCAGTGCGGGCTTCACAGGTTCAGCACTGCCTTACACACACCTCACCAACAGGGCTTGACAGCGGCCATCTTAGACCTCCTCCTTCCAGCTACTGCAACACATGAGAAATATCCACTAAGTTGTCTTGTATCATCTGTTTAAGCTTCTTGGGTAAAATTTGCTCAGGCAACAGGAGAGCCTGATTTTTATCTGCCGGTGTAATAAGTGATTGAAATGTGTTTATCTTAAGTCGCTTCCTTACCGTCCTCATCATCTCAGTCGATTTTTTTTTCAGGCACTCAAATTTGATACAGAATTGGGTGCACCAGCATGCTGAGGCTCTGATTAGAAAAGCTCCTGTAGTTACTGAACAAGTTTAGCAAACTTTTGCCTAAGTTACTGACAGAAACGATGCTCGCCTATTAACACGCCAGAACGGTTCCTAGAGATGATACCAATTGTAACCCCCAGTAAGATTCCAAGGAAAGTGCACGTGTGGCTCATTTTTCAGTGCTTTCCTTTACAGCACTATTTTGGCATACAGATCCCATGGCGACTTTTTAGTTTATCAGCACTCTGTTCTTTTACCTGAGTAGCCACCTATTGCGTTTGATGGAAGCCAAATCACTGCTAGTAAGTGGGCAAAGTTGGACAAGCTGTTCAAACAGGGAAACTGACATCATCACAAGCCATGACAAGGCTCTCATACGCAGCTTCTAAAAAGGCAGCAATTTGAGAAAATAACCATTAAAAAAAAAAAAAGATTTGTTTCTTCATTTTGTGATAACACATTCAGGTATTTTCCAACATTCTGCAAAGACTAGAAGTTACTTAGCTTTTTTGGCTTTGCACAGTAAGGGTTGGGTACATGTGCACTGCTCTGATCACGCACGGACCGAAAGCGGTATGCCCTTTGTGAATGCCTCCTCTGGCAACACCAGGTAGCAATTATATTGTTTGTACTGGGGCAAGATGAGGAACTCCTAGTTATGGCTCAAAGCCTCATATTTCATGCATTTTTCCTCTAGCAGC